TATATATTAGATTTAAAATACTGCCTTATTCCCATTCATAGTTCATAAAATAATTTTAGGTCAAACTCTTCACTTGTACCTCCAAAGTCAGTTGTTTTTGTTGTTACTAAAGTTGCATTTTTTGAGTCATCTACAAGCTTTTCAAAACTCATCATCATCATGTCTTTTACAGCTCTTTAGCAATTCAGCAAGATGATGTCACTGGAACTTTTATACCTAATCACAAGTACCCATTTGTATAACATTATATATAATTGCTATTTTTCATCTGCCCATAAGTGTATATACTTGGTCTTCACAAGGATACTTACTATATTATTTTTAACATTTACTTTTTATTTATATGAAAATTATACATGCATACAACTTAAAGAGTTGAAAGTTCTATAAAGTAGTCCTTTATTTCCTGCTTACCCAGATGTAACTTTTGGCTGCTTCTATATTGCTAAATAGCATACAACTATTACTACTTATTTTTCGGGGTTGGTTATTTGCTTTCTATTATGAAGGATGAGGAGTTAGTTCTTTTCCACTTCTATACCACCACCATATTCATTCTTGTTCCCGCTCCATTCTTCTAATACAATTATGACATAATTTTTTGTAAGATCGATATTTGGTATTTACTTTAGTGTGACTATGTAAATAGTAGTCACAGACAGGTCATGTAGCCTGCTATGATTTCTTGCCTTTTTTGCAGGATATATTTTCCCCATAGTTGTCTTGATGTCTTTGTTTGCTTAGTTTTCTTGTGTTTATCCTGAATTCAAGTCCTCAGGTTTCTCAGATTATGTAAATCTCCTCTCAATATGTTAAATCACATCAGCAATTCTATCAGAGGTTTACAACCTGTCTGGACTGTTTGCTTTCTAGGGCTACTACACAGATCTTGGGAACTTCTTTCCCACAGACCCTGGGAAACCAGAGGTTTTCTTGAGTTCTATTAAATTATTAAACAAGGAGGCCATTAGATTGAGGTGGCTCTAATGCCATGATAACCTATAGAAGCAAACCCAAATCTAAGCTTGTAAATTGCCTCAGGTTATTAAATCAAAATATTAAGGACAACCAAGCAATCACAGCCAACTAGTCTTCAAGCTATAGCCAATCAAATAATTTCCTTTCTTTGTTTCAGCAGTTTCTCTGTGTAAGTCTTTCCCCTGGCTCCTGTGGGTGGAGGGCTCCTACCCACGTCCGGTTTGGCTCTGCTTGAATTCAATCTATTTTTGTTCAACTAAAGTCTTAAAATTTTTAAATATGACTTAGTTTATCTTTTAACACTGCTTTCCTGCATCCTTGGAGCCCTTGCACCCTGAATCCAACTCTCCCTTTTTCTGGCTTTACTTTCTCTTGGTGGCACACATTTTTCTGAAAAAGAATGCATGGGAGGAGAATCTCTGAGAACTTATATAGCTGAAGATGTCTTTTTCTACCTTCACATTTGATTGACAGCTTTGCTACACGGAGAATTCTACACTGGAAATCATTTAGAATTTTGAAAGCATTCTTCCATTAATTTCTAACTTCCAGAGTTGCTGTTGAGAAGCCTGATGCCATTCTGATTATTGGATGATTGTTTGTATTCTGATACATTGTATGAAAACTCCCTCCAACTTCCTGCCACTAGAAGACTGTACAATTGCCTTTTTGTGCTAGTGCTATTAGATTTCATGATGATGTGCCTTGATGTGGGTCTATTTTCATCCATGGCTCATGGAGCCATCAATTTGAAAACATATCCATCAATACTAGTAAATTTTATGAAATTATTTGATGCCTTCCTCTTTCTTTCTGTAATGGCTACTATATGTTTACTGTGTCATTTGGACTCGTCCTCTATAATTCCCATCTATTCTAGAGTCCTCATTTATTTGTCGTTTTGTTCTAATTTCTGGAATTTTCCCTCAAATTTATTTTCCAATATTTTTATCGAATACTTTTCATTTCTGCCACATTCCTAAGTTTCAAGAGCTCTTTGTTCCCCTCTGTATGTTATTTTGTAATAGTATTAATTTCCTCCCTCCCATGGATATATCTTATGCTGTTAATAATGTTAATGATAGTTTTTTTCTTTCTAAAGTTTTCTTTTTCCTTCATGTGCTGTTTCTTTGTTTTTCTTCTTTGTTTCTGCATATTAGATTCTTTCCTCAATTGTATTGTTTTATTTTTTCCTTATGTCTTTGTTCACTTTAAAGAGTGTGGCCTTAAAAAGCTTTTTGAAAGCTTGGTGCAACTGAGTGGGACTGTGGTCTTCAGTGTATTTCAGGCCAGGTTGTTTCTTTGGGTCACATGGCTCTGATTCTTTCTCCTGCGTGGAGGATGCTAAGCCTGGCTCCCTGGCTTCTTTGAGCTTTCTGGGGGAAGAAGACTAGCAGTGTCAACATTCAGTATGTAAACTTTCACTTAATCTGTTTTTAGAGCGTACTGCTAACTCAGCTATGCTCTCTCAATCCAGAGACCTTCCATTGCATGCTTGGATAAAAAAAAGTACGATTCTGCCAAGAAAAGAAGGGGTTCCTGGCTGTGCTGAGTTAGGGAAAGCATCTAAGGAACTAATTTATTCTTAACAGACTTTCATTCAGTCCTCCTGTCTTAACTCTACCATCACTCTCACTTCCAAGAGTTCCTGATTCCACCAATTCCTGGGCCCGTTGGGAGTTTAGGATGTAAATCAGGTTCATTGACAGCTTTCGCTTTTGCTTCTTTAAATTCACCTTTCTCCATCTTCTTTGCCACTTCCAAAGTTGTTTGCTGCTATCTGTTTTCCCTTTCCTCTTCTCCTTATGGGTATTTGCCTTTTGAAAAATCTTATACTGTCATTTTAAAATGGGGTGTAGGGTGCAAGTGGAGCAGGGTGGACCAGACCAAACAGAGGAGCGCTGTCTAGCCAGAGGGGACCTTGCCTCGAGGGGGCCTTGCAGCTCTGCTCTTTCACAGCCGTGCTATTTCATAACTTAGCTATAACACGACTGAACTGTTTCACAGCCATGCCGTATCACAACTGAACTGTCCGCACTGAATAAAGTTTCCCTCTTCACTACACCCCAAATTGGAGATTAGTGTTGGTGTCGAACTGGTGCCGATGTTCTTAGACAGTTGTTGGAAGAGGCAGAAAATGACAGTCTCTATCATTTGTTTAAAAAACTTCACATTAGAAAACAAGTGAAATCTTCTGAATTTCGAAGCGAATAAAATGTGAATCAATAAAGTATTTCAGGAACATTATATAATATCTAGCCATTCGTGGAACTTACCCTGGTAGTCAAAGTACTCTGCTCAAAGGGTTTGATAAGCATCCAAACATCATTAGAGTAACACACACACACATACACACACACACACGATCATTCAGTTTTACTTTAATTGCAACCATATATGTAATACTTGACAGGTAAAACAACTTATTTGATTTGAAATGGAGCAGTGAGTAGAGTTTTATTGCAAAGTTGGCAAAAAACTTGAACCATTCTCTTCTAAATATGCTTAAAACTTTAGAGGAAAATGACAGATTTATTTTGCTTGTCATGAAGACTGCTTAATAATTTTATATAAAAAAAGCAAGGCTTTGTTCATGAAAACAATTCAGTCACAGAAAGCCAACAAATTAACTGCGCTCACAAAAAACTGTCTTTTGCTTTTCTGATATAGGATCTGGGAAGGTTCATCAATCAGACAGAGACAGAGGTACATGGCAAAGTGACAGCAAAGCCAATGTTAAGTCAGACAGAATGGATTTGAATCCCTGTTTAGCCTTTATAGCTCTGGGTCTCTGGGCAGGTTATCCAGCTGAGCCTTACTTTCTTCTCTGTAAAGTGGGCATATAGGTCACAAGGTCACTTTGAGGATTAAATGAGAAAACACACAAATTGCTTAGAGTCATACTTGGTACAAAGCAGATACAAATTACCCTAATAAAACCTCAAAAGCAAACATCAATAACAAAAGGAATTTACTGACGACTGTACATGACAGAGACAACCAGGATTCTCTGACTTGATGGGTAGGTGGGCTGGGCCAATGGATATGCACTCTGGTTTCTCACTGGCCAAAGTGTCAGAGCTTCAGGATGCTACTTCCAGTACCAAACTGCATCTTTCTGTGAGGTCGTTCTACTTAACTTGTTACAATAAATTACTCCATATTATAGCAATACCATCAATAAAAATAATGTCTGATGCTAATGCGCTCTGAATGCCTCATCAGGAACTTAGGAAAATTAGTCTAAAACTGCTCACCACATCCAAAATCAGACGGACTCATTTCTCAGTCAATTAGGTATGAAGAGTGAGCCTTAAGCCAAATGCGAAAGGCTCTGATAGTATCTTCCAGAGATGGAGGCCCGTTTCTTATCACTCAGAGTTTTCACAAGGTGAAGAAGACAGAAAAAAGAGTTTGTATAAAGATAGTGAGAAACATCAATAAACCTTGCAGTGCCTTGGTTTCACTAATAAACAGTACCTGTGTGTGTTTGAGAAGAGGGTCCCTTGATTTCCTACTTACGTAGTATATTGCCACTGGCACTAAATTTTGTGGGGTAGAACTTTAAAATATTTCAAAGGGCTCTCTGTGTAAAATAAATAATAGTGTGTTTCAGGCACTTTCCATATACTAACTCATTTAATCTTCCCAACTATGCTACGAGGGAGGCAATAAGTACACCATTTTATAGGCAAGGAAATTGGGAACAGAGAGGTCAAGAGAGTCGGGGAGTAGGGCAGTCTGGGCTCTGAGTCCTTGCTCAATCATTTTCCAAGTTAATGATTCTTCAGTTCATGCAATAGCCTTTTCACAAACATCTATATTCATCATCCCTTCAGAGGCTCATTTCCTGCAGTGCGTAGTGGTTAGTAGAAGATCGTCCATGATAGACTCTTTATTCATTCACTCAACAAAGACAGGGATTAAATAAGCATTTTGTTTGTGCTAGGACCTGTGCAAGGCCTTAGGAGTTTACTATTTCACAACAATAAAAATGGGTTCTGGAATTTTTTTTTTTTTTCTTTTAGCAAATTCTGCTTTCTCAACTGGCAAAATATGAGTATTTTCCACGAGAAGACACAAACTCAGTATGGTGCTGATTAGCTGTGTAAATGGAGCTGTAGCTCTAGAAGGGCTGACAAGCATGTATGACAAGCTTATGTATCATCTCTCCAACCGGGAATAGTGTAACACTTCTAGCTTCCACGAATAGCTTTAGCTAATGGCTAGCTAAAATTCAAGCCATTCTTGTGGGAGTCTGGGGGTACTTTCCATTATTGGTATTAAAATCAGTTTTAGAAGTAATACTTAGTGCATATGCAACACCATCATAAAGTATAATTTTAAACAGATTCTTCATGTGAATAAAATATTTCGTAGTTGCGTGTACATGACTACATCTCAAACAAACAACATATAAGTATTGACTTTAAAACAGAAATATATCATAAGATTAGTTTTTAAATGGATACTCTTTTATAGTTTAATTATATTTTTATGTATACCAATTTTTAAGGATGAAATTGTATAAAAATCTGTTGTATAAAAAAACACAAAAAGACCTTTTTTCTAATTAAAATTTGAGAGTAAAATAACTGTGTGGCAAAATGTGTGCCAACAGAAGTTTCTGAGGAGTAGGTGTCTTCAGTATAAGTGCTAGCAGTTAGCTAGCACTTATACTGTAGTAATGTATTTTCAAAACTTAGCATAGGGGTCTAGACATGGTAGGCATGCAGCATTTATCTAATGAAGGCAAAAGGAAGAAAGAATAGAATGGAAGGTAGGGCCTCTGTATGCCAATTGAAGGTATAAATGATTTTAGTAGCACCTAGAATAGGTCTGGAATCTACAAAATCTTATCTCGTCTTTCTACTTACTGTACAGAGGCACACCAGACACATTGGGCCTCCTTTCCTCCCTGTGGGCCACTTTGGGGATAGGCAGGGTTGTGATTACAGTTTCTCCATCATACATATGGCTTCTTGTTCTTAATATTTATTCTGTATTATAGTTTCACTATTTTTAATGTTGCACTAATATGTGTGATTTATTGGTCATGAATAAAATTTCATATTCAGTGTTAAATTTATATGGTCAACATCGATATTGGACAGCCCCCTTTTCAGACTGCCCAGATGAGAATTCTTTATTTTTGCCTTAACTGTGGACATAAATGCTATCTAAAGAAGTGTAAGGAGGCACTTTCTGCAGCCTCATCACCTTTTCTTGAAAGGGCCACCCCTGGTCACAGACATTGCCTCTATGTCTCCTTTGGTCTTTACGCGTTCATCATTTGCTTTATATTCGTGAGGGCATTAATGGATAAACTTAGTTTATGGATATTAAAAGCACAAAACCCTCGATTTCCATTCTATAAAACTCTGTTGGGGCTGAAATTTTCAAAGTTGTTTTACCAGAACAGTTCGAAATCTAGAGCCCGACGAAAGGAGGAATTAAACACATTTGTATGTTCTGCTTTTCCTTTTGGTTTGGTTACACAGACACCTTTGTACCATGGAGGAATTCAGGAAGTTATTAAAATAAAGACATTGTTTTAGTCTTGCAAAACAATGTTATTTTTTAAATATAACCCTATATTTTATATATATCTTTATTTCCATCTTACAGATGAAGAAACAAGATCAGAGCGTGTTTAGGTAACTTGCCCCATTCACACAACTAGTAAATGCTGGAGGTGAGATTGTTTCCACATTTTTATGTCATTCCATAGAAACTTGGCAATGATACTTAAAACATCTGCTATACCTATAAATCATTTGACAATACAATTTTCTAATGTAGTTTTTAAATTCTACATTTTATAAGAAATCGCTTCTACTTACAACTTATGGTTATTCCAAGTTCCACATTATGCTTCTTGGGGAGCTTTACATGAAATGTTCCACTACTTGGGATGACAGACTCTGGAATTTCAAAACAAAAAAGAGTATGTTTATAGAAAATAAGGAAGAATGGAGTACCGATTAATGACAATGCATCAGGAAAACATGTATCATAAGCATCCGTAGTTAAAGCTGTAGAAACCGAAGTAAAGTAAATGCCTGTAAAATCCTGATAAACTAAGCTCTTGGTGAAGAATACATGTCTTATCCACAGCTACTGTGCGTAATTCACAGCAACAGTCGAGTTCAGTATTTCTTAACTATCATTTAGGCAACACACGCGTCAGATTTACCTGGGATGGCAGTTAAAAATTTAGATTCCTGAATCATCCCAGATCTATGGGATCAAAATCTCTGAAGATAGAGCCTAGAAATCTGCATTTTAAACATGTTCTCCAGGCGATTCTTAGGCATAGTAAAATTTAAGAACCATAGGCCTCATTATATCCTTCCCCCGCCCCAACCATATTTTCTCAGAATTTACTATTCGGCAATTTTTTTTCAACTGTTGTTTGAAGGTACTAGGAGAAATAGATTTTAGGAAAGATTTCAGTTTGGTTGTTGATTTGGGGAAAAGAGGAGGGAGGTGCCTTAATCTGTAATGTAAACAGCGAAAAGTACACTTAAAAAGGTAGATGCAAGACTGATAATCAAAACATTTCAGGACCAGGATGGTACTGCCCACAACCACACAGATGGGATGCTCACTATGGTTGGGAACACAGGGGACCCGGTGGCCCCAAGTGCACCAAGGATGACCTTTTAGTTTCTGGATCATGGGGAGCTCCAGAAGGTTCCAGAGAGCAGCAGGAGGAGAGGGGACACTGGGACAGAGTGAAGGCGGGCTCAGATATTGGCCAACCAGTATAGAAGTAGGAACTAAGCTGATTTTTACCAGGGCCTGATTATTATTTTAGAAAGGAAGGAACTGCTACATATTCTTAAGTATACTCTACTTAAAATTCCTTTAACAGTCTGGGACTCCTCGAATTAGAGATAAGGTAAAATAGAAATAGCCTCTGAAGAGATAATATCTATTCACCCTAAACTGCTAATGACTATAATCCTTTCTTGAAGGTTTTGGGAGGGGTTGGGAAGGCACTGCAAGAAGCAAGGGAAACATAAGCATAAAGGGAGGGCCACGGGATGGTTTTTACCGCTAGGTTTTGCTCAAAGCCAGCTCCCCAACCTGCACATAGAGAATTAACTACAATGGCTGTGATGTGGTAGAACTATTAGGCCCTCAGGCCCCAGATTACAGATTGTTAATCACACATTTAACATTTTGAGTCTCTGCAAAGCAGGGTGAAAGTTAGAATGGTCTCATGGAAACAGAGTTACAGTACTCCTTTCCTTGCTCTGCCTTCACTTGCTCTTCCTAACCTTTTGTACTTTCATATGAGAAATTTAAGCAGTAAATCTTTCACAAGACCTGAATCTGATCTTCCAATTATGTAGATTCTCCATTGACAGTTAAACTAGAAAACACAATAAAAACTTGATTTTACTGGGCCCTTCACCTGTAATGCCACTTGTAAATAAAGGATCCCTAAGACTTCTAGAACTCTACCTGTAAAAAAGAATTCCAGTTTTTACTCCAGGGGAGAGTGAGGGAATCTGTTGCCTTCTCTAACTTCCTCCCACTCCCCTTAACTTTCCAACCCTGTCAGGTGTGGCTAAGTGAGGGTCACAGACTGTGTGAGCTGATACCTTTGGGTTCGCTGTTGTCCTCAACTAACACTTTGATGTGCCAGGAAGGACCCACGTTTGTTCGTTCGTTCATTCATTTATTCATTCATTCATTTGTTCATTCATTTATTAAGAATTTGTACCCTCCTCATTTCCCAATAGGACTTGAGCTAGATAAAATTATTTATTTCTCCCAGCAAATTTTTAAAAGTCTGGCAAATTTTGATATATTGAGGCAGAAAAAAGAAATGAGGCAAGTAAAAAACACATAGTTGTGCTTCATTTCCTTACTTCAGGTGCCATGAGTATCATGAATATTTACTTTCAAAATATTTCTCAAATCCATGCCTTTCCTCTATATTTTTCCTGAGTCCTCTTCATTCCCTATTCCAATAATAGAAGGCTAATTGCCACCTTCATCCCACTCCTAAAATGACAGTTTAATCTGGAATGACTAGGGGCGGAGAGCATTTGGAAATGGCCACAGTTTTGCTACTCGCCAGTGTGCAGAGAGAAGGGAGACAGAAACAAGTGTATGTGGGGAGAGCATGTGAAGTCCTGTAGAGAGGCTGTACTTGGCTTGACAGTCCTTGATGCCTGGTCCTAGCACATCCTGGGGCTGCTTACATGTCCTGTCCTCGAGGGCTGTGAAAATGCCTGTGTGCTTCCAGTAAATGCCTCTTCTCCGTCTAAACTTCTTGGGTGCATGTCTGCTGCTTGCGACTGAAAGATCTCTGATGAACACATTGATCCAGTAAAGGAAATGGGATGGAGCTAAGCAGAAAGCCCCCACATTAACGTTCATGGGTGTTAGCAGGAATAAATATTCGATTACTCAAATAAAGCATGCAAGTAAAAGCATAAGAAGCTTTAGAGGAACAGACGGCTTCCCTACTTATGGAACCCATTTCATGTATGTTTTAATGTTGCCCATTTTAAGAAAAAGTTTGCTGCGAAAGGGGAAGAGAGCATATACACTATGCTACATATGCATACCTGTATCCATGTAAGTATATGACGTCTTGTCCATGATGCTATGCTTACACAAATGAGGTCTTTGAATCATAAGGGCCAGGAAACACTGATCTAGAATAGTTACTATGGCAACATTTCGCTTTTATAAATTTTTAATGCAGGGAACCTTGACCAAGATTAACATGGTTAATGACACTGGCAGAGATATGATCATTTTCTAGAAAACAGTAATGGATCACTTTTGACTATATAAGATTTGAAATATTTATAATGATGAACAAATATCAACAAATAAATCTCTTTGATCAAGCTGTGGCTTCATTTTAATCTTTAAATGCCAACATGATTTATTTTATGTTTGGTAATTTTCTTCCCTCTACAATTATTTGGTAGTTAAAGCAAAGGCACATTTAATTTGGAGTTTCTTAAAGAAATACTAGTAAAGAGAAAAAGATCTAATATTTGGAGAAACAATAGGTTTAGAATAAGTAAACAGAATGTTTATTTTTTTAGACTCCCCAGTGATTATTTTGTGCTTCTCTGGTTTTGCTTTATCTTTGTTAATACTATAATTAAAAACACATTTGGGTGAACAAAGAATCCCTTCTTTCCAACTGATCTGCTTTTCCTGCCCAAAGCCTTCGTTGTTGGCACAGTAAGATAACCACCACATCACAATTCATCAACCTGGACACCCTTGTGAGATTTGAAAAAAATTAATGGATTCTAAGGGGGATGAATGTAAATGTTTAATTCCCATCCACTCAGAGAAAACACTGGGGGCTCTAGTAACGACGACAAACATCATTTAATAGGACTTTCACTGGGACGTCTTTCTAGAATAAAGCTGTATTTCCTTTAACAAAATAACTTAAGACTTTAAAGTAGAAACTTCAAGTGTTCATGATATTTTAGATTGGTATTTAAAAGACAGTATTGAAAAAAACCAAAATGTAAATTGCGCTAATGTTGTGATTATAGTTTTATAAAATTATATGTATGGTAAGGATGGTAAAGCAATACAAAAAATTCTATAATTAATGTTACTATAATGTTGTCTGTACAGTAGCACCCATTTAAAGAGATAGATTTAAAGCAAAAGTGTACTCACAGTCAAGCTCTTTAACCACTCTTAGGTCACTTAAAATGTTTATAAAATAGAGACAGGTTATCTCTAATACCCAATAGTTCAAGAATTAATATATGGGTATAATATATTTCTGAGGAAGAATTTTGGAAATAAATGGCTCACATCCAGACATTTAGGAGTGAATCCAGAAGGATAGGGCAATCTTGAACTAGCTCATGTCCAGAGATTTCCTATTAATGTTCCAAGTTCTCAAATGACATCTTGGGGAGTTGAAAAGAATAATGAGGTTTAGAACAGCTAACGGGGTGATCAGTGAGAAAACCAGCTAGATTCATGTAAAGAGATTTTCAAGCTGGATGGTACACCAGGCAGAATCTGGAAGCTCTAAGTTCAGAGCAGCATCGACCTGTTTTTTTGTTTTTTGGTTTTTGTCAAGAACCCTCAGTTGCCAAGGACTAAGAGCAGAGACAGCAGATGATTAAATTGAACCAGAGATTGAGACTGAGATTTCTAACAGTTTCTAATACATTCCAGTAGACTGGGAATGACTGACAAGAGTGTTTCACTGAGGATTCCGATGCTGCATCTGGGCTCAGCAGGAGGATGCTAGCATCAACTAGTGATGTCTGTCATGAGCAAGGGAGGGAGGAATGATAGGATAGAAGCATATTTTTTTCTGGCCCTCTTCTACACCATTTCTATCTATTAGAAATGAGTTATTTCTGGAATAATAGAGGGTAGGGGGAGATGGCCTTAGGTCCCTCTTTCTCGTCCCCTATTCAAGCAAGCTTGGAACAACGTGGGTTTAATAGACATCGTTTCTATTTTTTAGGAGCTTCTACCTAAGATATTAAAGTATTTAATCAACAAATACATAAAACATATGTAGACATTAAGTATGGATTAAACAATAAATAAATATTGAGGATACATATAGAATAAAAATGCATTTTGTAGCACAAGTAAATACTTAGATACTGTTTATGGAGAAGGTCTAACTGTGTTGGCTACTCCACTACTGAAACATAGGAAATAAATGCTGCTCAACATCCTACCACACACAGGATAGCTACCTCCCCTCAACAAACAGTGTCAGTAGGGCAGAGATTCAGAAATCCAGCTGTTTCATGCTGGAAACTCTAACATCTCTTTGAAGAGGCAGTGTAATATGATATGGAAAAGACAGGTGTAGTCCCATTTGTTTTTATTTTTTCTTTTGTTTCCCTTGCCAAAGGAGATATATCAGAAAAAATATCACTAAGAGCTTCGTCAGAGAGTTTACTGCCTATGTTTTCTTCCAGGAGTTTTATGATTTAAGCCTTTAATCCATTTTGAGTTTATTCTTATATATGGTATTAGAAGGTGGTCTAGTAAGTGCCCATCAACGGAGACAGAGAACAAACTGGTGGTTGCCAGGTAGGAGGAGAGCTGGGGGGTTAGGTGAAAAAGGTTAATTAAGAAGTACAAATTGGTAGTTACAAAACAGTCACAGGGATGTAAAGTATGGCATAGGGAATACAGTCAACAATATTGTAATACCTATGTATAGTGCCAGGAGGGTACTAGACTAATTGGGGGGGGGAGTCAATTTGTAGGTTATATAAATGTCTAATCACTATGCTGTACACCTGAAACTAACATAAAATAATGTTGGATGTTAACTGTAATTGAAAAATAAAAAATAAAAAGATAAAAAATTAAAAAAATAAAAATATGATATAAATAAAAAGAAAAAAAAAGACAGATGTAAATCAACAGACCTAGGATCTACCATTCACTTTGCTGTATGACCTTGAGTTTCCCCACCTGAACCTCTGTTTCTCCATTTATAAATAAATAAAGGTACTGGACTATAAGAGTCTTTTCACCACTAATGTTCTATAACTGTAGTAAGTACATTCTGAAGCCGCTGGACAGCCTTCTCTGAGAACCTTGCCCTCACTGCCATCTGACTGATCCTTAAAGGGTCCTTCTACTGGATTCCTGCTTGGTTGCAGTTAACAAATAGGGGGAAGATACCAAATCTAAGTTGGGCCAATTCGATTCTTTCTCTTGGGAATTAGGAATCAGAACTGTTGCTACTACTTGGACACTTTAGCAAAGACAGAACAATCATGTGCAATTAAAAGTCAGAGAAAACTTGTACAGAGACAAATGGAGCAGATGTACAGAAACGACAGCACTGAGAGATAAGAAATTCCAGAGAAACAGTGGGTATGAAATCAATTCTTTATGCAAATTGAAGTTCCTGATACGAGTCCTTCAGAAGAGCCAACTGAACATCATTTATTCATTCACCAAGTACTGGCTGAGAGCATCCTGTATTCCAGTACTATTTTGGGGTACATTTGTGAACAAAAGGCACAAAGTCCCTGACATCATAGATTTTTCTACTGGAGACAAGATAATAAACAAAAAAATATACCACAAAACATCAGCGCTTGAGAAGAGCTAAGATTCATAAATTTGGGCAAGGAGACAGAGAGTGAAAGACGGTCAAGGAAGACTTCTCTGAGCAAGTGACATTTGAGCAAAGAACTGAATGAAGTGAGCAAAGAACTGAGAGACTTCTCTGAGCAAGTGACATTTGAGCAAAGGACTGAATGAAGTGAGCAAACCACCTGAACACGTTGGCAAGAGCTGCCCAGTAGCAAACCACCTGAACACGTTGGCAAGAGCTGCCCAGATTTTCCTTAGTCCACCACCCGGCTTGAAAATCCCTTTACATGAGAGGCTAGTTGTTGGTTTTCTCACTAATTTCCCCATTAGCTTTTCTCAACCTTCATCATTCTTTTCAAATCCCCAGGATGCTGACCTTTTCACCTTTGCTTGACAGTTCTTAGATGAATTTCCTAAACACAGCTAAAAATGTATTTACATTCTCTCATCCTTCTCTTCAAATTCATAGGAAGAAGTCTTCTACATTCAGTCTTAGTCTAGTTATCTACCTATGTTCTAGATAACTTCATCCTCATCCCTTTGGGGACCCGATTCCACCCATTATCTCTTTTCTCTCTCATTCATTTCAGGCCCCAAACATGCTCAAATCTCTCCAATCTTAACAAAACAAAACACACCCCAGAACTCTGAATCACCTTCTGTCTGTTGTCCCATCTTCTTTCATCTACAGCTAAATTTCCTGACCTTGCCAAGTGTCCCCTGGGACAAACCTGACCTTGGTTGAGAACCACTGATTAAAAGATAAGGCAATATAAAATAGAGCACTGAGCATATAACTAAATGCTGTAGAAGTTCTAAAAAGAGGAGCCTCGAGTGGCCTCTGGTCTCTTCTATCCTTTCACTGCATTTCCCCTGCCAAACTCTATTCCAAAACTGAATTCCTTGGCAGACAGCAAGCATAGCTGTCTGCACTTCTCCCCTTTCCTTCACTCAGAGCTCACTGCGGTCTGACTTCCGTCCCCCAGTTCTCTGAAACTACTCTGTAACCTTTCTTCCGAATTGCCAGATCCAGTGGACATGTCCTGCCTTATATGACTTGAATTCTTCACAGCACCTTTACGTTATTAACTATGACTTTTGCCTTGAAACTCTTGCTTTCGCTTCCAAAATACCACCTTTTTTTGGTTCTCCTCCCGCTTCTAACTGTGCATCTTTATTATCTCCTTTGTTAGCATCCTTTCCCTTTAAATTCTAGTCTTTAGGCAGAGTCGTGTCCTTGCTCCTCTTCTCCCTAGCTGTCCTTGTTCCCCTTCTTTCTTCCACTCTCTCCCTAGGGGTCCCCTTTATTACAATGACTTTAACAGTCACTGACGTGCTGGTAAGTCCTCGGTCCTGCTCTTTAGCCCAGACCTGGTCCTGGACTCCAGGAGGTCCTGTCTGCTGTCTCATGGGAACTTCCTTTTGCATTTCAGCGGCAACACATTAGGTAAGTCTATTCTTATCTTTCAGCAGTTCTTGCTTCTGTTTAATTGGCTATGAGATCCTTGAGGATATTGATCCTTTCTATTTTCTCTTTCAATGGTCTGGACATAGCACAGTGCCTGGCTAGCATTTAGTAACAGGTGCTTGTTAATTGTCTCTTGAATTCAGGAACGAATGTGCTTGTCCTTTTTCCTTAGTATTGGCACTGGATTTACCTGCTTGTATCTACAACAGAACTTTTTGTTATCCCCAAATTTCCACTCTTCAAGTCTTCCTCTCAGTTAAAAACATCACTGTTTAATCCTAACCCTTACACCTGAGGAGTTGTCCATAATCTTCCCTTCTCTCATCTTCCATATCCAATCCACAAGCAGATTCTGTTAGCCCTGTTCTAAGCCATGCTCTAAATTTCACTATTTGCCACCATCTCTAGCACTGCCACCTTGGCTAAGCCACCGTTATTCCTTACTTGTCCAACTGCCACAATCTCCTGACTGGTTTTTCTGCTTCTGCTATTAAGAAAGATCTCTCCAAAATACTCATCAAGTTATCTCACTCCCCTCCACAAAATGCTCCATGACTTCATTACACTTGAAATATAATCTAAATTCTCTACCAAGGCACTCACTCCATTACTGGGCCCCTTCTAACGTCTCCCACCCGACCTTCAAATCCAGATCTGATTCTCACCCTCCTACTCCCTTATATGCTGCATCAAGAGCCCTTTTTGCTGTTTCTCAAATCCATCAAGGTTATTATTCTAGTTCATGTTTTTTACACTGGCTGCTCTCTCTGCTTGGAATACTCCTCTCCTGGATTCTCACTTGGCTGGCTCCTCCTCGACCTTCAAACCTCTGCTCAAATGCCACTTCCTTAGAGAGTCATCCTATGAAAATGGCTCCCCGCGGTCATTCTCTAACCCCCATTCTGCTTCCTTTTCCTCAGAGCACGTATTATTACCTCAATTCATATTTGTTGATTTAAAAGTTAACTTTCTGTCCTGCTAAATGTAAGCTTCATTAAGACAGGGATTTTTTTTTTCTTTTCAGTCGACTGTTGCAACTCCATTGTACAGAAGAATAATTGGCCCACAGTAAATACTCAGCAAAGGCATACCTATACTGATTGGTAAAGATGATTGACTCTGTGAGGTAGTATTTCACTGTCTAAGACAATTTTCTTAAATAAGAACTAGCGCCATCCCCTAAAATTTGCATAGCTAATGAGGACTACCTTCAGGACCAAACTTAAGTCAAGCTCCTCTGGGCCCTCGTCTTGACTTGTCCTTGGCCTAGACTTTGGCCTGCTGAGCCATTTTGGCAAGTCTCCTGCTAAATCAGTTTACAGAGAATCCCTCCACCCTTGAATATACAATTAAATTATAATCCCCTGTTACTGTCAAATCAAGTTCCTCTTAGTAATTTTCCATCCAATGATTCCCTCACTCTCACTTTGCCTGTTGGCTATGAATTCCTGGCTCTCTTTGCTTTTTGCATTTTTTGGAGTTGAGTTCAATCTCTCTTTCTTATTGCAAGTCTTGATCTCTCTTGCAATAGTCTTGAATAAAGTTGTTCTTGTCATTTTTAACAAGTGCGCGGTTCAATTTCTCTTTAATACTAGAGAGCAAATAGTTATTTACTGGGCTTGTATAAATCCATCTAACGAGTTTTCATTGTTCCTCTCTAAACCTTCTTATGTTCTTTGTAGTGGAAAGGGTCAAAGAGAGGCTTTGCTTGTCTGTGTGACTGAAGAATACGTTTTCTCTAGCATACAGGGGAAAGTCAGGAAGCCTAAAGCCTGAATGATTTTTTTTTTATCACTTTTATAGTGGCTATTACTTATTTATTTTGTCACATTTATTTTCAACTGTTCTTGTGGTGACATTTTAAGGAATAATACAACAAAAATGCTCAATTCAAAATGACACCCCAAATCTCCAAAACGAAAACATGTTCAGTATATAAAAAGTTTTCCTTCTGCCACATAATACATATAATTCACATGCAGTCCACTCCTGACTCTGCAGCTGACTTGAGAGTATACAATCATACCTGCTACATCGAACTCAATTTCCAGTGTGACCTTGCTCGTGATTGAAGAGTCTCGAAGGAGCTGATTGGCTTCCTCAAAGGTGCTGTCTTCAGTTGGAATTCCATTAATGGCCATCACTCTGTCTCCAATCTGTAGTACTCCACATCTAAATTTAGAATGACACATTAGAGGATGTAGAGTAAATAATTATAAGTTTAAGTTACCAAATCTGCTTTGTTTGATTCTTGCAAAATGTCATAATCATTTGGTCTTATTTATTCAATGCTGTGGGAATTATATTAGGTCAATTGCAATGTCTTGCACTCTTGCATCTCATGGCTACAAATGTGAGCAAGGGAATCTCGAAGTATCCCAGACAAGTAATTAATAATGCAACACTGTGGTATTGATATAATATGAACTGAACCAATATATAGTCATGATGAATGTACATTCCCCCATGGCAAAGAAATTATTAAAGTTTGAATTTAGAATTTTTTTTATACATTTTATTTTCCTTTTTAATTAGTGTAGCCTCTAGTCCCCGATGGACAAAAATTTGTTGGATAAAGGCATCCAGGCTCATTATTCTTCTCAAAACTGATAAAAAAAACATAACATTTTATTGTCAGAACAGAGAATTCATTACATCTTACATTTCCTGCATTGAGCACTGTTCCATAATTTATTAGCTGTCCAAAGATAGCCAGCACAAGAAATGCAGAGCAGATAAAGATGTTGTGAAAGACAGTGTCTCACCTCTCTGCCGGGCTGTCAGCTTCAATATAGGAAATCAGAGGTGGAGAAGAGAGAGTCTCTGTAGCAAATACACTGCCCTGCAGTTGGATCCCAAATCCTGTGACAGGATCTGCTGTCAGCACAACCTCTGTGGTTTCTGTGTGAACAACCTGCCCAGCCAAGCCTACTGTGCTGGAAGCTAAAGACACTAGAGGGACAAATACAAAAAAGAATGACTAGGTTGAAGCAAGCACCAGGAATACCAGCATTCCTGAAATAGATCATGTTTCTGAGAAAAAGCTCATTGGCAATGGTGGGAGGTTATATTTTGGCCTTCTAGCAAAATGTTTAGCCAGAGTGGAACAAGATAAGTGATTCTCCCTGTACTTGTCACATTTCAGTCACAATATCAGTGTAGCCTCCTTCCTCTACACACCCCCCATATTAGGGACAGTTGAAGGAGCTGTAGGAAGAACATGGCCTCAGGGTCAGGGTACTTGAGTTCTGGTCCTGGTTCTACCACTGAGTAACCAACTGGCTGGGTGACCTTGGTATAAGTCATTGATCTCTTTCCTACCCAGGAAAAAGGGGTTGGGCTAATGGTTGTTTTTTTGTTGTTTTTTTTTTTGTTTTGTTTTCCACGTTAGCCATCTGTGCCTAAACTTTAAGCTTTTTACAAATAACCTGACCCCTAGCTTTGAAGAAATATCTAAGTCCAGTTCCTGGAGTGGTGAAGACGTGCTGGTCATCAACTTTAATCTAGCACTGCATTGGTGTGATGGCACCATTTAAATGCTACCTTCCTCCTCCTCCCAAATTGGGTCTCTTCACTCCTTGTTCTTTCCCACTGCAGCTTCCTTGCTGTCTCTTATTTCATCTCTTCTGAGATTCTTCTAAGCTCCCAGGCACACATCTCTGTCTTGTTCCTACCCCCAACCCAGGTCATGAAAGGGCTGCTCCACACCTGGATGGATGTCTCTCTCCACTGGGACCTGTGCCTCTTTTGCTTTCTTTGAGCAAGAGCTCTGTCTGCAGGGTCCTATCTGGACTCTCACTTCCTCCAAAAGGAAGTGAGAGTCCTCTTACTTTTTAACTGAAACTTGATGATACCATATATCTCAAACCCCTATCCAATCAGAAGCTATTTTCTTTCCATCTCCTTGCATGGAGCAAGGAGAGAGAAGAGTTTCTAATGCTCCTTTCTCCCCATATGCAGTTCATTATTTTTCTCTCTCTCTCTTACTCTTTTTTTTCTTTTCTCCTTTCTTACTCTTTCTTTCTTACTCACTCTTTTTTCTTTATCTTTCTTTCTCTTTTCTTTCTTTCTTTCTTTCTTTCTTTCTTTCTTTCTTTCTTTCTTTCTTTCTTTCTC